CACTCTTTCATGCTGGTTCATTTTTGCCCTGGGAGTGAAATAATTTGTTGATGCAAATACAATAACTGAGGAACCTTAATGGGCTCCTGAGATGGTGGTATAACTTAGGTGCACCTGATAACATGAGAAATTCACCTCAATGGTACTTAGCCAGGATACAGGTGCATCATGTATTTGATTTACATCTCATGTTAAAGCGTTATTCTTCTATACTGCAGCTCAATCACTGTGTCTAATCACAGGGTTTAGTAGCTTAAACAGCACACTAAGGGCCCAATTCAATTAAAAAATGTCCTGCAGAAACCCTTTTTTCATTGTTTTCCCAGCCTTGTTGCAGGCTTCTGCAAAGACGTTCTGATTTTTTTAATAAGATGGGCCCTAGGATTCCTTCTATTCCAAGTCATCCTCCCCCTTTCTTTTTTTATATGTTTTGTAATATCCTTAGTACATAAGGGGATTCTGTTGTTGTAAAACTAGCATTTACAAAAGTCATCTTTTCTTCTTCATTAGTTTGAAAATCTTTGGAACGCAGTGGATGTCTGCACTGGTGGATGGTTGAAGTATCAGGGCTTTTTTGAAAAAGTTTAACTCAGAGCTTGCAATGATGCCATCTAGCACTCCCAAAGCAACTCGTTCTGCAGCTTCCACCAGGCCAGCTACCCATGCCATGCAGGACCCACACGTGTCTTCTCAGCCTGAATGTCCCAAGAAACAATCTTCTCTAGCAGGGCAAAGGAATGTAAGTGTGGTTGTTTAATGAGTTTTCTGGATTTTCATTTCTGTGTGTAGGCTGAAAAATAATACCTGTGGAACTCTGTGAAGGTATTCCTATTGAGTGCCCATGAAATCAGGCACAGCCATCTGCCAATAAGCAAAGGAGGTAATTTGCAAAACTGTGTTACAATGACAAAAATTGGGCTAGATAGTAACTCCACTGAAGTCAAAGGATACATGTCGATTTATACCAATAGCACTCCCTGCTGTTATGTTACACATATCTATCAGAGTTGTATGGCAAATAAAATTTCTATGGTTAATTATGATCAGAATTCTGAGAACAAAGTAAACAGCCCAAATTACAAAGGCCTAATAGCTGCAAAAGCAGCATAAAAACTGTAGACAGCTTATCTGTGGTCATCTGACAAAGCCAGGCAGGATTGGCAGTTGGAATTTCCTAATAGTTGTTTGTTAGCCTTTCCGAAAACATTCTGATGGTCTTCTCTGGTGGATGCCAAATTACAGCTGTTAATGGCTGATAGTCTAACTGATAGGCTTGCCATGAAGACCAGTGACCTAAGAAAGGTAAGAAAAGTGGATTAGAAATGTGGTAGCGTTGCTTTATTTTTGAATCCATACCTATATTTCACGTCAATAATGCACTCTACCCCTCTCCACTGCCATGCTGGCCTCTTACCCTACTGCCAGAATTCACGGAAAGGTAGGGAAATAGTTGCAGCCAGAAAAATTAAATATCCCCCTTGTGGAGCTGCAGCTAGCTATTCCACTTTCTTTGGCTACAACCAAACCTACAACAGGAAAATAAAATATTTAGAATTATTCAGTGCCTGGAACATGCTTGGGTTTTCTGACTACTTGTACATGGAGATGTTTAGCTACTGAAAGAGAAATAACAGATTGAGCAAATTAAAGATGCAAACAACTTGTCAGCGCTGGTAAATCTAAACATTGGCCCATTGCTAGCTCAATTATTCCATTAACTATAGGTTCTTTCTTAAAAATCCCAGACAATTAGCTACATGCATCCTTTATGCTTTGATCCAGTTACCAGAGAAAGCAAAGGAAAACTCCTTGTTACTGTCTGCGGATGCTAGATTGGGCAGTATAAGACAATAGGAAGGGAACTTAAGTCTCCCCAAACTTATGGCTGTTGGAAAGACCCCAACTAGCCTGAACACCAATCAGGATGAATGTTCCTGCAGCATTCATTACATAGAAATGTGTGTGAGGCCTCAGCAAGTCTGCACTAGTGAGACCCTCGAGAGCGCACTCAGAAATCTTACTAAATATGAGATTATACGTTGGATCTAGAAGCATAAACACCACTTATGCACGTATTGTACAGTGGTAGGCTGAGGCTTTTCTTCCAGCTCACCCGTGATACTGCTGAGGCAGCAATCAAAAAGACACCGAGCATCGATATCCTCTTACATTATTTCTTCTGTGGCCCTGCATGTGACCAGGAGTTCTCCCAGTAACAAATCAAAGCAATGTTATTTCATAATTCGGTGACTTTCCACTGGTGTGTTTGTTTGTTCTAAAATGGCACAACATCATTTTTTTTTAACATTATATCTTTCATTTAATAAGAAACAGTTTGGAGAAACTACAAATTATTTACAAATTAAGCCAAAGAAAGAAAAAATGGTTAAGGCCCATTAAATTAATAGTGCCTTTTTGGCACTGAGTGCTCTCACATTTTTATCTACAGTTTTGCAGACACAATTCAACTCAGAGTTAGAAGTGGCTCAAATGGTACATTAACCTTAAGTCTGGCAGACCAGAAACTGGATTTGTCATCTGGTGGTTTGTCTACACACACAAAAAAAAATCAGTAGAAAAGAATTACCATTATCTCTTGCTTTTAGATGCCAGCATCCAGTCGTCCTCAGACAACAACTTGTTCTACACCTACTCTTAACTATGAAACAATTGAAAATAAGATAAGAAAGAAAATCCAGCATTTCTGGAGAGACATACTGAAAGTGTGCAAAGAGAAGGATGTCAGCAAGTTGGAAGAAATCCCAGTGTCAGGCTTCCTAGTTTTGTCACCATCTGAAAAGTGCTTTATTTATTCTCAGATGCATTCTGTTTTCTTTCTGGTGTCCCAGGCACAGGAACATCTGGCCTCTAGTAAGTGGCGTCCACTGCACGATTGCTCCAGGTACCACTCAGCTATTGCAGAACAGAATGGCTTGCAGTAGCCTTGGGTGCAATACATTCACATCCCTGTTCAGAATTAGCTGCTCCTTGGAAAAGGAGTACATGGCTTTGCTTGTGGATACTTATGGCATATGTTCAAGTTTCTCATCACCATCCCAATCACACCACCCTTTTCTGTGCCTGGGGATATTTGAGTGAATAGATTCACCAGTCTTTTCCTTGCGTGTGCCTCTGTTTGCACTGGTCTTGATGGCTGAATGCCTGCTGATTTGAAAGGACCCTGGATTTCACTCTTAGAAGAGCTGGACTATGCTGCTCTTCCATTGTGTTCTCTTCTAGAGATGATGATTAGCTATCTTAAAGAATGACAAAATCAATACCCTTTCTTTGCATTTCAGATATAGCAGAGAAGTTCAATTTGTGTTTAAGCAAAGAGGAAATTAACTAGATAACAACAAAATATGATTTAAAGAAAAATGGAAGATTTGCATACTATGACTTTCTTCAGAGCTGTATCCTGTTGTTAAAACCACAGAAAAGCTCACTGCTACAAAGAGTGATAATACCAAAGCCACAAAAGCCAGCAGGTACAAAGATTATAAAAATCAAAATTGCATTTTTTTTTTTTAAAGTTTCTGCTCTACTGACAGGATATGTCATGATCCATTTCTATAGTCACTTTATGCAGGGACTTTCCTTTCTCTTATTTAATCCCATTATACTAATTGCATAGTATTCATCTGGTGTCTCCTTCACCAGTTGGAGGATTTAGCTCCTTAGGATCATGCTGTGTGTATCCAGGTGATGTGATAAATTGGCCAAATTCGTTAAAATTTGGATACTTATTCCAAATACAAAACAAAGGAACTGATGGCTTAAGAGCTTTTGTTGAACTAAATAAAAATCAAGCTAGAAATAAAAAGTGGGATGTGTCTCAGGATGGCCCTGAGTAGAGATCTTGTCACCAAGCTGTGCCTCTGTTCCACACACAGACAGAAGTTGCTCCCCTCTGCCCACAGCGCTGCTCTAGGGCAGAAAAGATCAGAGGAGACACACAAATCTGGCTCTCATGGCCCAGAAAGGAAGGCATCAGTAACAGCATCCCAATCAAGTTATGTAGTAGGAACAGTGCCAAATTCCAAATCTGCTCATTCAGCAAGCCTGCTACATTTTTAGGCTGTTTCTGACTGTGCCTAATTAGTTTAGATATGGTTAGTAGCAACATTTTATAGAGAAATTACATTACCAAACTGTTTTCAGATGTGAAAGGAACAGATTGCTACCAAGGTATGAAGGGAGTATCATTAGGAATTATCAAGTATTCACTAACAGTAGGGAGAGTGAGGTAAAACTATTAAGTTTTGCATCAAAAAACTTCATTATTTTACATAAGGTTTCTTTTATACACAAATTTGATGTTGTAAAATTCTATTCCTGTATTCCAGAGTGAATAAAGCAGTAATTTTAAAGTCCCTATGTAGTTGTCTCAAATAATTTCTGTTCAGAAAAAATAATTAAGGTCTCAGTCCATGTTCTGAGCACTTTTTTATAATGTAATATTCAGAGAGAAATTTCCTCATAGATTGCTCAGTCCATTCCACCTAGTAAGTGTACAGATACACATCAAAAGGAATTTTAAAAATAAATAAACTATCTTTTTATTTTTGGTAGCAGTCACAATTCCCTCTTTTTCTCAAAAGCCTGAATCAATGGCCTAGGGCTTCATGGAAGCACCCAGGCTTGAGCTATGAAAATTAACCAAGTTGAAGTCATTGTAAAGGGCTCTTCCCCTCCCTCCAGCCCACAAGGGTACTTTGGGTTGGAAACTGCATTATTCAGGAATCCACTCATTGTTCAGGTACATGGTCTGTCAGAAGAGTACCCAAGAGCATAGAAAGATGGTGCAGCTGCTCCTCAGGCTTCTTACAACACATGTAGGTGCAACACAGTCTCTGTGTCCATGTATAGCAGGTGTACAAAGTAAACTGTGCATTTCCTTCACAAGGAGATGCTGGTAGACTTCAGTGACACGTGCAACTGGCACCGAACTATAATAATAAATACAAGGAAAGTGTAGGGGGAAGTTGAGATGAAGGGTTTTTTCAATTTTAATTTTTTTTAAAAGGTAGTAGAGCATGTCCAGAGCCTGCAGGCACATTGGAGCTTGCTGATTTTTCCTAGTCTCTTACTCATCACTTAAAGCTTTGTACAAGTGGAGTTCATTTTGCCTTAGTGAATAGTTCTGCAGTTCACACGTGTTCAAAGTACAGCAGTGTAACAAGTTTAGCCAAGCTAAAACAATAGCCCACAGCACATCCCAAGGCAAATTAACTCTATGGTCCAGCTGTAGAACCGCAGAAAGGTTCAAAAGCTGGTTATGAGGTATTTTGTGTCCTGGGAAAAGTGTACAGTAGGGTTTTGTTTTTTCTTAAATACTGTACTGCTCCCACAGTTGGCTTACGCATTGTCACTTTTAAATAAAAATTTCACTCTGAAAAATGAACACTGCAGAGAATTAAAAATGACTGAAAGACGGAGTTGAAACAAGGACAAGTATAACACGTGTGAAAACACTGAGATCAGAGCAGAAGTAACACTGACTTCAGAATCAGTTTCAAATAATAAGAAGTTAGGGCTTTGACAGTGATTAAGTAAATATACCATCTGCACTTCCCAAGAATATCAAAATGTTATAGGTTAAAATAATCTTGTGTAAACAGTATCTTGCAATAATTTGTAAACAAGTATTCAGCAGCCAGTCGCAGATTAAGGCAGTATTACAGTCCAGCACCTTTCATTCTGCGTTATGGTTCTGCCTAGTTATGTCCATGATGATGTTAGTAAATGCAAGTCTTTCACATCCAACCTTGGTAGCTGAATCCTGGACCACCAACCATGTTGTTCTTCAGCGCAATGCTGAGAATTCAGCCCCAGATCCTGAGCTGCTGGAAATCAATGAGGCGAACTTTTAAATCCTATGATGAAAGTCATACTGGACTGTTAAGTATTGCAGATTTCAGACAAGTAGTCAGAAAATTGCAGTTGCCTAATCTAAGCTTCTTGATCAAATATCTTCTGAAAAATGGTACTGAACTAGAGCATATAAACTCATCCTGGCTCCTCTCAGAAACAGCGGCCAGCAGGACTAGGGAAGTTATTGCCACCCTGTACTTTGCACTGGTAAGGCTGCACCTTGAATACTGTGTTCAGTTTTGAGTCCTTCACTACAAGACAGACATTGAGGCACTGGAGCATGTCCAGAGAAGGGTAACAAAGCTGACAAAGGGACTAGAGTACAAGTCCTATGAGGAGTGGCTGAGGGAACTTGGGTTTTTTAGCCTGAAGAAAAGGAGCCCCAGAGGAGACCTTATCGCTCTCTACAGCTACATGAAAGGAGGTTGCAGCAAAGTGGGGATCAGTTTCTTCTCCCAGGCAAAAAGGGACAACACATGAGGAAATGGTCCCAAGTTGCTCCAGGAAGTGTTTAAGTTGAACATTAGGAAAAAGTTCCTCACCAAAAGGGTTATCAGGCATTGGAACAGTCTATCCAGGAAAGTGGTAGAGTCACCATCTCTGAAGGTATTTAAAAGATGGGTAGATATGATGCTTAGGGACATGGTTTTGTGGTGAACGTGGCAGTGCTAGGTTAATGGTGGGACTCAGTGATCTTAAAGGTCTTTTCCAACCTAACAACTCTATGATTCTCTCTGTGACTTCAGCTCTGACCACTGCTCATGGTAATTTTTCTCCACATGTGATTACACTTGCTGGAGGTCTGAGGTCCTGGTGAGGTCCTGAATGGAAAAAACAGATAAAAACCTTAATCCCTATCCCTTTGACAAACACGTGGGTAGAGAATAGAAGATTACCTTCTGGTAGGCCTCCCTACAGGCACTGCTACAGATGCAGGATACTGCGACCCTGCAACTAGCGTGGTCCCTTCTTAATGTGGAACAGGCTGAAGTAATCCCCATTAGAGAGGCTCTGACTTTGGTTTCTCTCTTTGTTCTTCTGTGTGCAGCATAATTTTGTACTAGACAAGGGATTAATATCCTTTGCGAATATTTAGGTGTCTTGTATCTCTGCAAACAGCAAATACACTCTTGTATTATAGATAGGAGGGATTCTTCATCTAGATCCATGGGGAGTTTGATTTTTGCTTAGTTTTACTGATTTCAAAATCTTTACTATTCCTAGTTAAAACAATGTCAATCACTATCTGTTTTGGAGCAGTTTTGAATATTTACTATTCAATTGCAAGAAAAAAGAAATAAGTGGAGTGGGGGCCGTGAAGCCATTTAATACTGCATGCACTAGGACACTCCTATCACTAGTAGCACTACTACTTCAAAAAAACTGATCAACTAATAGATGGGATGCTCAATCACAGGAAGCAAATGCTTGGCTGCAATAAGCAACAGCAAGATGTGCTTCTCCCCTTCCCCTGGAGCTGCAGGAAGCCGGCTTGTTGCCTGGTCAATATAAACCTGTTCAATTATACCAGTCACAGAAACACTCTTTTAAATCTTTACTTATTTAGGCCTGGTGGGAATGTGATATGTTCTGGCACTGCCACATAGCTGAATCCTCAGTCCCTGCCTGCTCCTCTGTGAGGGCTGAGGAGCAAGATGCATCAATGAACTTTGTGTCTGAAGCTCCCTGTCTAACGCCACAGCTTTCTGACTGCTTGGACACTGCCTCAGCAAACCAGGCTCAAGGAAGTAGGAGTGAAGATCAGGCCCCTTTGTATTAGATTTTAACTTGTTATGTTCCTCTAGGAAATGCAATGATTACCATTTATAGTTAAAATCAATGCACACAACTTTCAAATCAAGCTTCCCAACATGATATAAGCTAAGTGAAAAAAACCAACCAAAACTCCAACAAATCCACAGCCAAAAAACTAACTCTCTATGGACCTAGATCAAGAAGCAATCCCTGACTCCAAAATCCTACTACAAAGGTGTTAATCTGCTGTTCGACAAGATATCAAGTGATTTGTGGAGGTACAGATCCCTTTATCTCCTAGGTAACCTAATTTACTGAAACGGGGAAATTAGCTCTCTCCTAACTTTGGCAACACTGCTATTTATGGCTGTGCTATCTGCAAGGGGTCATTAGCAATTTCTGATGTTGAGCTGTTAAGTCAGAAACAGGCAGACTAAGCCAAGTTTGCCAGAAAGCTAATGACAACTGACATAGCACACAAGGACACATTGTGTTGCTGGTCACTTCCAGGGTTTAAATTCCAAAGTGCATCTAAAACCAGGAGTAATCTTCAGAAATTAGTGCATTATATTCTTGCATGTCAGGGCATTGAGAACATTTAAAACTGCTGAAATGCACCAGGTGAAATATTTGAAAGGTACAGGTGTCTAACATGGCTTTTAGCATCAGGTGAACCAGATGCATCCTGTTCATGTTGGGTTCTCACTGAAGCCTTAGAAGGGCATGCTTACAGACTGAGCATTTAGCCCATGGCAATCAAAAGCACTGAGTGTGTCATGGGCATCATGATATACATAAGGGTTTGCATAGTCTGAGTGACTGGATTACTCCTTCTGTTTCTCTGGATGCAAAGGTTGCGGATCACCCAAGGAGGATGGAAAGGAAGATATTTCACCTCTGCATCTCATCTCCAGATAGGAGTGAAGGTCTTTTAAACATGTACCTTTTGTAAATTATCTTCTATGCCCATGGGTGCTTCCCATTTCCCAGTGCTCCCTCAAGCAAGTGCTAGTTGGGCTAGTGGACAAAACTCCTGTATATGCAGGTATTCAGATAGGCATCCCAGGGAGCCACATGGGAAAAGGAAGAGATAATAAAAGAAGGTTTGATTTTCTAATATTCTGAGAACCCTAAGACAGAGTGGATCTCAACCATCAGGTTAACTTGTAAAGAGATGTGAGCAAGATAAACTATCGGTTTTACTTCTTGCTCACTCAAAGCATTGATATAATAAATTTTAAAGTTGTCTCTGTCTTTTGTAGATTCTTCATGTGTATGGCATTGACCTAACTGAAGAGGAGTTTTTCAACTATCTGGAATACTATGATAAAAATTTGTCTTCAAAAATATCCTTTGATGATTTTCTCCGGGCATTCATACAGTAGGATTTGATCAAATGCAGGAAACTGTACATAAAGACAGTGACTGCTTTATAATTTCAAATTTCAAACTAATAAATTAATTGAGTATGGCTTTTTTTGTATCTATTCATTAGAAAACTCAAAATACTTTAAAATTCTGACAGTGGTCCTGTGTTGTGGATTAAATCTAAATAGTGAGGGAATTAATTTTGCATAATCCATTTATCAAAAAAGAATAAGACAACAATTAACATTGTCAAAATAATTCTTCCTAAGACGTCTCCAAAAGCAATTCGTTTAAGGAAACTCTTTTTTTAATTTTACGCCTTTTATTAATGACATACTCTTAACTTCAGTAAAAAGGTTTAAGACATACTATTGAATTTCCTCAATTGTCATTTTCCAAAAGTATTACTTTTAACACATTAGCCTTCATTGTTCAAAAAGAATAATCCTATTTCTCAGTGCATCCTTTCCCTCTACTTGCAGTTCCATACGTGTATTGTCAAAGACAGGTTAATATGGACCAGCCACCGAAATCTGAGCAGATGCCAACTGTGTGGACACCACACTTCTCTCTGTTAAAACTGTTCTTCTACATATTTCAACACAGTTTAGGAAAGACACTACTGTATCAATAAGCATTGGCTTCTTAACTGCACAGAAATATTCTCAGTGTTAGGGTTTGGTTTTTTTAATGATACTATATACATACATATATACATATATATATATGTGTGTGTGTGTGTATATTTGTATTTTCACACACAGTATGTATTTATACAATAAACAGTAAATTGCAAGTAAAACCCCTGGTTAGATTTCCCAGTTATATAAAATTTCCATTTGAATATCTTCTGAGGTACTTAGATTTTGGTGAGGTAATTAAAATATAATTGTTTGACTGCTGAACTCTTATGAAAATTAATGGATAATATGATCATCAGAGCCTGCTTCCAGGGACTACATCAACAATTAAACCCTTACCTGCTCTGAAGAATTGGTAGATAAATATTTCACTGTCTGGTTCATGAATTAGTTTTCATTGGTACAACAAAGAGCCCTTTCCTCATCTCAACTGAACTGATTTGGTGGTATCTTTCTTGCAAGAAACATACAAAGATATGTTACCAAAAATAATAAAACAAAAAAAGAGAGCACGTTATGGGTGTACAAACACACATGTACATACACACATATGTATCTCTCTCTCTCAAGGGAAGTATTTGGAATGGAAAAGGGTAGAGAAAAGTAATCCTTTTTCTTATTATTTCTAGTGAATGCATGAACCATTGTAATGAGTCCGAAAGATTTCCAGTGCGGAACACTTCAATGCATGTTTCTTTCTGAGAAAATGTTTCTTTGCATTTGGAACTTTTCAGGAGATATTTTGAAGGCTTTGAGTAAAAAGCATCAGGGAGGTTTCAGGTTGGATGTTCTGTATTCCCTTTTGGCTTCTAAGATTTCCTTGGTTTGTACTCACTATAAAATAAAAAAATTGGAATTGGATATGTTTGAAATAGTAACATTGAAAAATGTTTGCTAGACTTTCCCAAAACTGATGGCTCTCTGTAAGTTCCTGAAATTTCTGCTTAGCTCTTTGGTTAACAGAGGAGATTGAAGCTACCATTATTTCAGGATGTTCTCCCATACTAAATCAATACAAAAATTCCTAGGTTCATTAACAGAAAGAATCAGTTTTAAGAATGCACTCACATATCTCAGCAAGTGACTAAAAAGGGCTGGTCCCGGTCCAGTTGCCTGAACACAGGCATGAGTTATCTATTCCCACCTGACCTCCCTGGCAGGTCCCACACCAGCCAGCCCCACTGGGTTGTCTCTAGTGTCAGAGGGCGTCTCAAACTGCAATAGGTAGCTAAAACGCAAGAGGGGTTCAGTCTAGCCCCACTTAAGATCCAATTGGCCTATTTTTGTTTAATTCTATCCTTGCAACTGGTGTGAAGCCTCAGACTGCTCTGTTCCTTAATGGCAACTTCTTTCCTACTCCCCAGTCAGGTGCAACATGCCTGATTTAATTTGTTATTAATTCATGCAGTTTATGTTCTGAATTAATAATTCATATTAATTAAAGAATTGCTATTTGGAATATCTACAATTATAACAAAAATAATACATTAATTATTTTAAAAATAGTGGATTTCATTGTATTGAACTAAATGAGGAGAAAAAAAACAACTTAAGTGATTGTTGGGTAGTGTCAATTGGGGGTTTTTTTGTGGGGTTTGTTTGTTTTCCTAAAATCTCCTATATGTCCTGCTTAATAATCGGTTCCAATTTTATATCCAATACAATAAGATTTCCATCCCTGCACTGCTTCCTGGCACAAAGCACAGCTACCGTGTTTCACGAAGGGATGTAGTTGTGTCCCTTGCTCCACGTTTTCAGGATACCCACTGTCTTCAGAAGAGGTGATGCAGTGAGGTGATGGATGCTTCTGGGTTTCCTGACACATCCTACCAGAGGATTTTTCATTAGTCCAACTGGCAGGAGTATCAAATCCAACAACTCCGAAAGGATTAAAGAACAATCTTTTTGCTGTACAAACAAATCAAATCATGCTGGTTTTTTGAGTGGGTTCTTAAAGGCAAGGATGTCCCTTGCCAACCACTTATCCAGCCTAAAAAAAAATAATTAAAAAAAAAAAATCAAACTGAATTTCAACTGCCAGTGTTTCAAAATAACTGAAGTAATTTTTCATATTAAAATGCAAACTGCCAGATGGATAAACTTTGTAACAGAAAAGGCCTTTATTTTTTTGCAGCTGTTCCCCATAACTGATCGTCAGCCACTGAGCCAGGAGGGGCTGGCAGAGGCCCCCTGTGTTCCTACTGCAAGGCAGGTAATGTCAGTGGGATTGAACATTATCCCAGGGTAATGATCTCCCACTGCTGTATGTAAACGCTGCGGCAAAGCTGAGGCGGTTATGAAAATAAAAACATCGGTGTAGTTAAGAAATTTTATTTCCAAGCAGCAGACATTAATCCCGTGCCTGCTCAAGGTTGCCATGTTCCCTCTCACCCCTGGAGCAGCAACACAGGCATGGGACACCAGCCTGGCTGCTGCCATGCTGCCCTTGACCCACTGGGCTGCTGCATTGGGCAGGAGGACAATGTCTTAGAGGGATTTTGGCAGCATGGGGCCCTGCCAGCACTCCCTGCGAGGCAGCATTTGCTGCCACTGAAACATAGCAGCAGCAGGTCATGGCCTCCTCCTTGGCCCTCACTGGCTATCAAGACCTCGTGAGCCATGGCTGGGTGTTCCTTTTAGATGTGCTCCCTCTGGGCTCAGTAGAGAAAAGCCCTTAAGCAGGGTCTCTCACCTCCCTCCACAAGGGTCCTACCATGGGTATTGGAAAGGGAGACATTGGCCCTCATGCAGAGGAGCTGGGACACAGCCTCCTGGCTGCAGCCCAGCCCTCACACTTGGCTTTGCTCTGCGTGGCCATCAAGCATCTGACTGGGCTCATCAAGCTTAACACTGTCAGGCAACCCGCGGGGTGTGAAGGGAGACCAAGCACACCCCATAATCAGGGGAGACATGTGCCTTCAGCAGCCTCTCCAACAAAGCCTGGAGAGCAGCCAACAAGGATCTCAAGGGCTTTTCTCAGCTTTGGACCTGTGGCATGGCACAACCTGCTCCCTGTGAAAGCAGTGCCAAGCCCCTCCATTCAGCCCCAGCTCCTCCGTGCCACTCTGTCCTCAAAACCAGCAATCCCTGTGACTGCTTATGTGCCTCTTCTGAGACAGAGACAAAAGGCTTGCTAAGGCTAAAGGAAAATGGGTTCTTCAGCAGTGTTTTACCACCAGTGTAAGTTTTGTTCCCTTCACTCCAGGGCAGAATAAGGTAATTGAAGGAGACTGAAGGTACTAACAAATCTGCTGCTGCATGGGAGCCTCATGTCACTGCCAAGTCATTCACTCCATCCAGCAGATTCCTCTTTTTTCCTCATCTGCACCTCCAACTTTTGCTCATTGCCACGTCCTTCAGCAAAACGGCCACCCATGCAGGGCCTAACAGGGGGCTGGGGAGCAGGCATCTCCAGCTCACCACTGCCAAACTACATCCTCAGACTCTCTAGAAAACTTTTTCTACAGTAATAAAAGGCCACAAAGAAATACTCACCAGCAGCCTGGGGAAAAGCCCTCCAAAGCCACAGCATGCCCAGAGGGAACAGGTCAGCACCAGCCAAAATGACTGCACAGTAAGGACGTTCACACCAGGCAAACACCATAGAGTTTCCAGGTAATTAAAATACAACATAAAGATACCTCACTACAGAGAAAGTGAATTTCATGTATAATCAGGTTATAGAAGAGAAGATAGTGTCTTTCAATGGATTTATCTTCCTCCCCTACTTTTCCTATCAGGCTTTTCTCACTTCAAAGCCTCTGTAAATATGGGTGCTCAGGAGTAACACGTGCTGCTAATTAGCACATCCTCAAGCCCACCTGAGCTACTTGGCCTCATCAAATCCCCTGCCCTGAGGCCAGCCTGCTGCTATTGCCAAGAAGCAGGGGCTGCTTTGGGGAAGGGATGTGGCTCTAGCAAGAGCCCTTTTGGAGCAGGGCAGGAAGGCATGGCACAAAGGCTGTTTGCTGGAAGCATGAGAAAGCAGGATAAAGGAAATAAAAGATGGGAATCAGTCAGGGGAGGGAAGGAAGAAGAGGTTTGTAGACTCTATACCAGCCATTTCTATCCTAGGGCTTGGCGTGAAGCCTGCAAGAGCAGAAATAGAGCCTCTCTGTGCTCAAAGGGTGAAGTAGGGAAGGGCAGAGAAAGGACTGAGGCTATGCAAAGGGACACAAGAGAAAACAAAGAAGGGAAAGATTCATATGGGCCATCTTCTACACCAGTAACTGGCATAAAGCCTGCAAGACTAGAAATAGACCATGCTTTGCGAAAAAAAAATCAAACTTCTTCAGAATGCAGTAATATAATTTGTTTGATTAAGGCATTACTGTGTGAAGTGCCTATATCTCTGTGCAATTACTGTTTTTATCTGG